CCCCAAAACCCCAAAACCCCAAAACCCCAAAACCCCACAACACAAAATCCCCAACAAAAATTTAGCTCATAACACAATGGTCTTCATCCACTACAGTGACTTCTTCAAGCGAGTGCTTGAGTCACAACTCTTCAACCTGCTCAACTGTGATCTTACACTTGTAGACGTTCAAGGTCTCCAAGGAGTTTTGGAGAGTACAGTTACTGATTGCAATGAGCAGGTATTCTAGCCGTTCGGGATGTTTGTCCCAGTCCATATCAGTGTGCCAGTCTCTACTCCCTGACCATCTGAAGCTCAGATATTTTGTCTTATAAGGTTCTTGGACCGTCAAATCCAGTAAAGGAGGGATTGATACCTTACAACTATTAAACACCACTCTCTCAACTCCTCTAGTAGCTTTAAGTACTTCAGCAACTTCTCCTTCTTCCACAACCACCCATCAAAAATAGACTTCCTTCAGAACCTTTGGTAGCACGATCTTGAGTCCATCCAAGTAATATCCTAAGAAAACCTTCTTTCCAACGTTGATTCCGAAAAAGAACAACTCAATCTCTTTAGAAATACAACGAGTCAAAAAAATATTGATTTCTTCATCTTCGTTCTTTAATCTATCAAGTTTCAGCCTCTTTAAAGGACCAAATTTATGTCTGTAAAAGTTCAGCTTGCTTAAGATATATTGATCATTTTCCTTATTCATAGAAAGTTCAACCTTGGCTGACTCAGGATCAAAGCCTATACAAAATAACCCCAAAAGACCTAAAAATCACCTAAAATCCAACAAATCAACAGTAAACCTATCAGAAAAGTAGGGTTTTAACGAATCCGTCCTATTACCTTCAATAATTATCCAGTTTCCTTCCTTTTTGACCAGTTCCTTCTCTCTTCTCGGGTTCTCTCTTCTAGGTCTGTCTCTTCTCAAGTCCTTCTTCTCTTCCTCTAGATCTCTTCTATGAAGCCCAGTGCGTTCTTTCTGGACTTTTCTATGAGGCAGAGACGAGCCTGATTTGTTCTTCTTTAGGTTTAAAAGTTCCCCTTCAATCTTAAGTTTCTCTTCCTGACTTCTCTGGTAGGCTCTCTTCAAGACCTCTACACGGTGCAGTAGATCCTTGTTCTCTCTGACCAAGTCTTCGTGGTCCTTGTAGTCCTGGTCACTGCTTGTGAACGGGGATTGGAGAGTGTAGTGGTTGGAGGAGATAAAAGATGCCACTCAATCCCAACTAAATTCTTTGGTAAACTTGGAGAAATCTTCATTTTCATCAATCAACAATCTAATCTGATTAATATCACGCTTTATCTTAGTAAACTTAAAAAACTCTTTCTGCTTTTCAGCCGCTGATATCTCTGATTTAATTTCATTAATCTTCGTCAGTAGGTCTTGGCAGAATTGAGCCGCTTCCTTAGTGTAGGAGTGAGGCTGGTCTTCAGCAATGTGGTAGTAAAGGAGACTCAGCATTTTGGAAATTTGTGAAACCAGAGGCTTTATGGAGCTTGGAGAGTAGAGTCTTATATACTTTCAGTCCCTATAAATCAGCATCTCCACTGCCCTTTCACCCCAAAATCTCTAACCCGCCCACTTACCAATAGTATGGTCTTCACAGAAGTATCCGTTTACTTCTTCGACGTAATCTGAAGAGATCTTCATGCAGGTTTTTTTGTCGCATTTTGGGAGATCGGCCATTTGAAGGTTAGGATTTTGGGGTTTAAATTTTTTAGGATTTTTTGGGGTTTTGGGGTTTTGGGGTTTTGGGGTTTTGGGG